CTATAAAACCTCGCAGTTGTGGTTCTTCTGCGAGTTGTGCCAAGTTTGCCCGTTGACCACGTATAGGGCCGTATCGAGCTTAATCCTACCTGTTTAGCCGCTGCCAGTTTTTGGGTCGTATCTGAAATATGGTGAAGGTATCGGTGTCCCTCCCTGCAGCTACTGGGTCTTCAGGTCCGTCTTCGCTTTCAACCTGTTCCTCGTCTTCCTTGAGGAGTTCAGGGGGAGGCATTTGTTGTAACGCTTCGCGTTTGTCCAGTTCCAGTTCCAGTTCCTCCTCCTCCTCCTCCTCCTCCTCCTCCTCCTCCTCCTCCTCCTCCTCCTCCTCCTCCTCCTCCTCCTCCTCCTCCTCCTCCTATTCCTCCTCCTCCTCCCCCTCCTCCTCCTCCTCCTGGCGGCGGCGCGGGCAGCGCCGAGGTCCCCGGAGGAGGCCCGGCAGGGGCCGAGCCCAGGCGGTCGGCCCTCCGCCGCACGGGGCGCGCTGGGGCCGGGGGCCGAGGGCCCGCCCCGCCGGCGGTCGAGCACCGCGCCGAGTGCAGGGCGAGGGCCAGGAGCCGGACGCGGGGGCGAGTCGGCGGCGCCAGCCCCGCGGGAGCCGAGCTGGGCGCTGCGTGCCGCAGTGTGCGGGCAGGGGCAGCGGCGCGGGCCGTCCTGCACACGCAATGCACTCGATGCGGCCGGGCCTACTCCAGATTTCGTAATAAAAGGGAGGGGGTCTCATTTCGGGGGGGGTCTCTTCCAGGCTATCTTGGAGGGCCTGGGGGGTCTGGGGACGATGTTTTGGAGGGTTCTCCCACGGGGGAGGTCTGAAATGGCTTGTCTTGGAGGGTCCAGACCCCCTCCTTTTTATTACGAAATCTGGAGTACTCTTCTGGCCACGTGGTTTCAGCGGCATTTCCGCCGAGCACCGCTTTCACACGGAAGGAAGTTGGCATCGTCTTGCACGTGCAGAGGCACGTGAGCTTGCAAGCTGAAGGCAATGACAGCACCTTGCGAGGCCACCAGGATTGAACATTTAACTTGTCGGGGCAAACATGTTCGTACACTTGCCCGTCTTGAAGCAATCGTCCACATTCGCGGCACACTGGACATTTTGATCCTTCCCAGTTTGGTGGCAAAGATGGCAATGCCTCACATCCGCGGCGCGCGTTGAGTGCGCGTTGCACGGGCCATCTGGCCCACCGCGGTGCTGGTCGTCAGCCTCGGCTGCGACGTCGGGCTCGTCTGGTAATCGTTCTCTCTGGCGCTGTGTGGCACACATGGCGATCCAGAGCCTCGCGCACCGAAGCTGAAGGAATAAGGCCAGTGATACAGGTCACTCGAGGAACACAGAACGAGCGGCATGATCATACATTCTCGGGGGTCCGTGCTGAGGCGCCAGAGGCGCCGCCAGGGGGGGCCCAGCGCCGACCCAATAAGTCCGCGCTGACCGACATGAGTTTGTGTTCGTGTCGTTGGTTTTGTTTCTCTGGGCACTTGCTAGTGGAAGGGCGAGCCAACCTACTTCGCACGTGACCGATTCTCCCTCGCGGGCGGGTCAAGGCCAGCCTTTTCTTCGGCCCCGCGCGGGGGTGGTGAGCCAAGGCTAGAACAGCCCTCCTCCTGCTCCTCCTCCTCCATCCCATTTCCTTATGCAAAAACTCCTCCCTCTTTCACCCACAGACGTGTTGGGGGGGGGGGCCGCGCGTTCCGCTTGAGAGTTCATCCACATCTGTGAGATTGAAGCTTGAAGTTCGCAACAGTTTCACGGATGGAGGGCGGGAGGGCGGGCGGTTTTCAAATTGTGTTTATCGTTTTAGGGCCGCGCACGTTCATTTTTCAAATGTTGCAACGGTTTCACAGATGGAGGCGGGTCTTTTTCGAAATGTAGTTCTTTATTTGATGCCGCGCGCAGTTGTTTTAACAGTTCGCAACAGTTTCACAGGTGGAGGGTGGTTCATGTCCCAAATGTGGGTATCGCTTTTGCACCGCGCACATTCGCCCTACAAGTGTGCTGCAAATGTTGAAGAACCCTTGAAATTGTTGCCAGCAGTTTCAAGAGTTCGTATGGCTGTTGTTCCAGAAAGGGTGTTCTGGCATGGTTCAAGATTGCCACAACGCAGCAGCCATATGCATTTGCTGCGTTGAAGTCCCAGGCACGACGATCTGGCACGATTTAGGATTGTCATGACGCAACAAACACGTTGAATCGCGGCGCTGAAGTCCCAGGAATTGGGTTGAGCACGGTTGAGAATTCAACAATTGCCTTCCATTGGGGCATTCCCTGCAGTGAAACCCAATTCCTCTAGGGACCAGGGAGGGAGGGTGTATTGCAGCATCGTTAAAGCGCCTGGGGTTTGAACTGGTCCTCCTCCTCCCTCCTCCTCCTCCTCCTCCTCCTCCTCCTCCTCCTCCTCCTCCTCGCCCTCCTACCTACCCAAACAACTTGTGAGGCCGGCCCATGGCGAAAAGGTTGGCTTTGATGAACACGTTTGAGGCATAACCCACGCATTCTCGTTTTCCTTGTCCTCGTGGTTGTGCTCGTGCCGCCGCGTCCCACCCCCCCGGGCTCGTGCATCCCTCCCACCCAAAATCTCCTGGTTCTCTGCCACCCTCCTCCTCCTCCTCCTGCTCCTCCTGCTCCTCCTGCTCCTCCTGCTCCTCCTACCCAAACTTGTGAATCCAGCCCGTGGCGAAAGGGTCGGCGTTGATGAACACGTGTGTGGCATAACCCACATTCTCTCGTTTTCCTTGCCCTCTTGGTTGTCTCGTGCCGCCGCGTCCCCCCCCCCTGGCTCGTGCATTCCGCCCGCCAGACATCTCTTGGTTCTCTGCACCCCTCTTCCTCCTTCTCTCCTCTCCCCCTCCTTCCTCCTCCTCCTTCCTCCTCCTCTCCTCCTACCCTCCTCCTCCTCCTCCTCCTCCTCCCTCCTACTCCTCCTCCTCCTCCTCCTCCTCTCCTCCTCTCCTCCTCTCCTCCTCGTCCTTCTCCTTCTCCTCCTCCTCCTCCTCCGAGGTACCCGGGGAGGTACCCGAGGTGCCCAAGTGTTGTCATGCACATGCGTATTGAGAGGGGTACCCGAGGGACCCAATACCCAAGGTGCTCAATAGTTGTCATGCACATGCTTATTGGGAGTGGTACCCGAGGTACCCAAGGAGGCACCCGAGGTACCCAGGGAGGTACCCGAGGTGCCCAAGTATTGTCATGCACATGCTTATTGGGAGGGGTACCCGAGGGACCCAATACCCAAGGTGCTCAATAGTTGTCATGCACATGCTTATTGGGAGTGGTACCCGAGGTACCCAAGGAGGCACCCGAGGTACCCAGGGAGGTACCCGAGGTGCCCAATTGTTGTCATACACATCCTTATTGGGAGGGGTACCCGAGGGACCCAGGGAGGTACCCGAGGTGCCCAATGGCTGTCATGCACATGCTTAGTTGTCATGCACATGCTTATTGGGAGTGGTACCCGAGGTACCCAGGGAGGCACCCGAGGTACCCAGGGAGGTACCCGAGGTGCCCAAGTGTTGTCATGCACATGCTTATTGGGAGGGGTACCCGAGGGACCCAATACCCAAGGTGCTCAATAGTTGTCATGCACGTGCTTATTGGGAGTGGTACCCGAGGTACCCAAGGAGGCACCCGAGGTACCCAGGGAGGTACCCGAGGTGCCCACTTGTTGTCATGCACATGCTTATTGGGAGGGGTACCCGAAGGACCCAAGGAGGCACCCGAGGTACCCAGGGAGGTACCCGAGGTGCCCAATGGCTTTCATGCACATGCTTAGTTGTCATGCACATGCTCAGTGGGAGTGGTACGCGAGGTACCCAAGGAGGCACCCGAGGTACCCAGGGAGGTACCCGAGATGCCCAATTGTTGTCCGGCTGCCGGCGACCGGCGACCGGCTGGCCGGCGACCAGCGTCCGGCGCCCAGCGACCGGCGGCCCCATGCGGGGGACCGGTTTCCTCCTCCTCCTCCTCTTTTCGGGTCGTCCGTCGGCCTGTCGGCCGCGCTTCGGCGCATGCACCCTTACCCTTACCCTTACCCTCCTCCTCCTCCTCGTCCTCCTCTCTTCATCATCAGCTAGGCGGACTTCGCAACTAGGTGTGGCAGGCGTGATGTTTCTGATGGGGCTGGGGTAGGGCACGAGAGGAGGATGAGGAGGATGGTCGACGGCCGTGGCGCCGTGATGCCCAGGTATCTCTCCGCTTAAGTTTTGCACCGCTGTCGCTATCGTTTCGCCGTGTTTCGAATATTGCCGCGCAATTGTCCAGTGTCTTTCGTTCCCTTGTCTGTCTCTTTGCATGTTGCTGCGTCAGCTCGCTAGTGGTGTCCAATGCACGGATCCAGGGGAGTAGACAGGAATGCTCTCAGAACGTTCCGGCGGAAAGTTCCCGGAACGTACTGGATACAGACGGGTCTTCCGTTCTTCATCATTGTTCTTGCTTTATCTATGTAGCTCTCGGTATCATTTCGCGCTTGTTGTATACAATCGTAGTCCTGTCCGTAATTATTTAGGCTTTAGCTCGCTAGTGTCGCACAAGTGTTCAAGTCATTAGCGAGGGCCTCGTTGCAGAGCCGTGGGGCGCAGAAGTATCCAGCATCTTAGCCGAGAAAGGAATCTTCCTCCTCCGCCTCCTCCTTATCCTCCTCGCTTCGGTAGCGAAATCCGAACCCTACACTCGCCGATCAACGATTCAGGCAACTCGATGGGCGGGGGGTGCAGTGTTCGGAAATCGTCGAACACTAGGCAAAATCCGAACCCAACTTCCGCCTCCCATCGATTCAAGGGAATCGATGGTTGCTGGGGGTAGGGTTCGAATGTCGCCACCTGTCGTTTACACCACTGTTACTCGACCATAGATGCTCCGAAAACCTCCCAGGATCCCGAGAACTTTCCGCATACCTTCAGTACCATAAGAATTGACCAAGTCTAGTAAGTTGCACCTTCCTCTTGCTATCGTTTTGATCGTTATCATTCGTCATCCTCTCTCCTTTTCCTCCTTGTCTCGCCTCCAGGTTCTTCTTCTGGAGGTCACCGCCCTCGCCGTCGTGGCGGTGCTCATCGGAACTGTGGCCACGAAGCTGATGAACGACATACTCATGCTGGACGAGGAGGAAGTGGATGACAAGGAGGAGCGATCCTTCCGACCCAGAAGTTCTCAGAGGTGCTCGCCACGAACGACGAGCATATCCATTTCCATGCCCTCGCTGTCTTGACACCGAGGCGTCGCCCCTTGGATACGTACGCGATCCCACTTTTACGTTCCGCGCCAGGCATCCGTGCAAAGACTCCTTGTATCCATGGAGTCGCGTCCAAGAAGTCCGCACCGCGAGGCCGTGGATTGGAGGTCGGGAGGTGTGGCCGAATTGAAACGGAAGCCCCCAACCAGGAAGTCGATGCCGATTTCTTTTCTTCGCCCCCGTGTGCGCCAGGGACCCCGGGCTTGTCCCAGGTTTGTCCCAGGGGTTGTCCAGGGATCTCTCGTGGGTTGCCCAGCGGTTGTCCCGATGGTTGTCTTGGCGGTTGTCTTGACGCTCTCTTGGCGAATCATCGGCACCGCGGCCACGGTCTGGGTCTGATAGGCTTGAATCTCGGCCTCATTGTCCCATCCCGCCCTTCTTCCCTTTCATCCGTCCCTCCATCCTCCGTCACATCTCTGCCTCCCCCTGCCTCCGTCCCTCTCTATCCCTTTTTCCTTTCCTTCCCCCCCCCCCTTATGTCCCTGGCGGTCGTCTGACATGCGTTGGTCTCTCCAAGGAGAGCATCAGCGTCGGCGACTCCGTCAGGGTGGTGGCCGATGAGCAGGCTCTGAGGCACGCCCTGAGCTTGGCTGGGCTCGAGTGGGACGACGACATGCGGCGCGTCCTCGGGACGACGCAGGAGGTGCTGGCGGTGGACGAGGAAGGCGCGGCTGCCCACGATCCGCTCGGCCCTGCTGCGGTCGGGGCGCGCGGGCTCCGCGTGTCGTCCCGCCGCCGGCCCTGGCCCACCACGCCCTGGCGCGACACGCCAACCACGCCCCGGCTCCCATGCGTCAAAGTCCCGAGCGCATCTCGCCCGGCGGAGCGGAGCGACAAATTATCCGCTCGCATGGCATAGCGCCAGCTCTGGCCCGCCACGCCCTCACGCGACACGCCAGCCACGCCCCGGCTCCCACGCGTCAGAGTCCCGAGCGCATCCCGCCCGGCGGAGCGGAGCGACAGATTATCCGCTCGCATGGCATAGCGCCAGATCTGGCCCACCACGCCCTCACGCGACACGCCAGCCACGCCCAGGCTCCCATGCGTCAAAGTCGCGAGCGCATCTCGCCCGGCGGAGCGGAGCGGCACACTGTCCGCTCGCATGGCATAGCGCGTCGCTGGAGCCGCCGCCGCGACACGCCAAGCAAGCGTTCCCCGACCGTGCGCACACCCGAGGGCGACGCTCCTGCTCCGTTGCTCTAGTTCGATTCGGCCGACTCGATTCCTTGGGTGATCGACTTGGTCTGCGATCGCGGGCAGCCTTGGGGCGGCCACGGAGAGGCGGCCTCGTCGGCCTCAAGGAGGCCATCGCTGACAGCGGCGAGCCCGTCTGGTACTACCCCTTGAGCTGCGTGAGCCTGCAGGCCATGAGCTCCAGTGGGCACGAGACTCGGGAAAGCGGAGCAAGCGGATCCCCGGTCCCGTCGGCCTCCTGGGAGGGGGGCGGAGGAGCTGGAGGAGAAGGAGAAGAAGGAGGCTCGGCGGGGCTGTCGGAGGGGCCAGAGCGGGACGTGCTCGCAAAAACAGGCTGGATGGTCTGCTATGCTCGGCAAGCTGCTCCCTGGACCCCTCTGCAGCGTGCGGGCAGCCCTCTCCTCCGATGTCGCACGGTTGTCACATGCTGTCTTTGTTTGTTTCCCTCGCGACTACGTCCCCAGGCCTGGCTGGGTTTTCATCCCGCGCCACGCCTTGGAGACGGGACATGGCCCCCAGGGCGCCGAATGCGACGAAAAGAATGCCGCCACGATCCGAGGGCGTATGATCTGAGGGAGTATGATCGGAGAGGGGAGGTCCCAGATCCCTAAGGTCGACCGGCCCGAGACGATGGTCGATCTTAACCCCCCCCCTCAGGATCCTGAAGATCGGCACCGAGCCAAGGCGGCGCCAAGCACAGGGATGGGGAGATGCGCCTCCGGCGGGGAAGGAGGCCCTGGACGGCCCCCGCTCGGCAGCGCGGGAGCGCGCGAGCGTCTGAGGGGCGCGCTCCGCACGAGAAGAGCTCGCCCAGGCCGGCCCGCTGCCCTCCTGTGAGAGTCGGGGCTCAAGAGACGGGGGTCGATGCAAACGGGGGTCAGCCAGAGAGCTGGTTCTTGCAGGATCCTGCAGGGCCAGGTTGCATTGACCCGGGCTTGGGCGCAGGACCTTGCAGGATCTCGGGATTGACCCAGGTCAGGAGGAGGAGGTGGAGGAGGGGGGGGGAGGAGGAGGAGGAGGAGGAGGAGGAGGAGGAGGAGGAGGAGGAGGAGGAGGAGGAGGAGGAGGAGGAGGAGGAGGAGGAGGAGGAGGAGGAGGAGGAGGAGGAGGAGGAGGAGGAGGAGGAGATCCCCGAGAGAGACGCTCCGTGGCAGCCTTCCGCCGCGGCCCAGAGCCCCATCTCCGCCGTGCCCTGGCCGTGCTCGCTCGAGCGTGCGGGGGGGGGGTCCCAAGGTGGGGCCGGGGGGCGAGCCCAGCCAGATGCTCACAGTTCCTGCTTCCAGGGGTCGTTCCGAGCGATGTTCCTCCAGCCCCAGCTCTTCGCCCTCTCCCGTATCCCCTTCTCCCAGCGCCCTCCCTCGGCAAGCATGCAGGCTCTGTTGCGAATGTTGTGCGTGTACTGGACTGGCCTCCGCATAGTCTAGGTGTGCAGCATTGTCGCAATGTCCTGTCAACCTGTTGTTTCTCAAACATATGAGCTAGTCGTTCTCATCTCTATTCCCTGCCGATGCGCCTTCGTCTGGCGCCTGGTTTGACCGCCTGACTGAGTCGTTGGTTCGCAGGCGATGGTGCACGGCACAGCTGCTCGGCAGGGGAAAGCGCATGCCGCACAGGAGGATCGGCGTCGGGATAAATTACAGAAAGCACCTGCAGGGCCAATAGAAAAGCCAAAGTCTTTAGCAGTTGCCTTCCGAACTGGCTTCCCATGCACTGCAAAACGAGGGCGCCTGAATGTTGCACTCAAATCCTCGTCAGGAGGAACAGAAAGAGTGCTCGTTTCCTGAACTCGCATTATTTTCCTCCCCCTCTCCTACTCTGCCCCGATTTCTACTTACAGTCGACAGCCCCAGAATGCTCCGTCCCAAGAGGGAGATCCGGAGTCGGCTGGACACTGACACCTCTCTCTCCTTCGAGCGCGTTGTTGCGACTGCCACTGGGGCCGTGCGAAACAAGCTGAATTCAGAGGTGAAACGTGATCCTTGATCTCATGGTTGTTTCCTTGTGATTGGACTGTGATGTACGTGGAAGAACAGAGCGAGTGGGGGAACTTTCACATTCTGGAGCAGACAGCCAGGCATGGCCTGGCTGCGAAAATCGAAGGGTTGCGGCGATGGTTCCGAATCGGCGACATCAACAGGAAAGACAGAGCTCACTGGTGACGCAACGGGGAGCTACGAGCAGCGAAGGTCAAGTGAGAAAATCAGCATATCTGGCGGTGGCCAAGGCCCAAGGCCCGAAGCGGAGCCGTGGAGTCGACCTTAGGCAGCGAGACCGTGAGATCGCAGCATGAAACGACCAGCTCGGAGGACGATCGTGGCATTGGCGGTCACAGTCAAGCTGACCGCCGACGTATCCAGACAGGGATGAAAGACGTTCAGACGTTCAGACCCCACATGCAGAGCGGGACGTGAGTCTCAAGATCGGGAGCGACAGCAATGCAATCCAGCCGAGGGCAACGCAGCTGCAATTCAAACCAATTTGCTGTACCCGAGGGCGGTGACGGGGAGACGATCATCCGCAACGAAAGCGAAGGAGAGGATTCGATCGCGCGGCGCACTCTGCTCATGGAGGCATATCGACGAGCTTGGCTACATAGTCGCGCAGTTCACCAGCTGGCTCGAGCGAGGGTTCGTTGCTGACAGACGGCCAGGTTCGAAAAGGCTCGAGCTGGAGACGGCTGGGTTCGAGAAGGCACGCGGAGATATAATTTCGGGCTACAAGCGCTTCAGGAGAAGAGTACGAGGCGCCAGATCGAAGGAGCAAGGGTCACATAAGCACAGATTGAGGAAGACGCGCCGTTGGGTGAGCTACGCCGACATCTATAACGAGGTAATCAATGCGCGGACGATTCCGAGAAGTTATTTGCCGGACGACAGTAGAGTTTAGAACGTTCGAGATTGACATGGGCAAGAAGAGCGATAAGTTCGACGATTGCGGTTGGACGTTGAAGCACGCCGAGATGGAGCGGCCATCGCTCATCGCGGACCAGAAGGCGGAGGAGGGCGAAGAGCAGAACATGAACGCCCAGGAAGACGAAATGCTGCAGGCATCCCAGAGCCAAGCCACGTCTAAGGCGGTCGTGCTGGGAGCCATCCTGCTTGAACGGACGCCACGGCCCGCGGGGCGGCCAGCACCGACAGAAGTGTCGCCGGCGGCGGCTCCGGTGAGCAGTACGGCTCGCACGGGGGCCGCAGGCAGGTGCGTGTTTAGCGTCGCGTTGGCCCACGAGAGTCAGCAGCGGCTGTCTTCAATGAATTTCGATCTCGGCCTCGAGGTCACCGTGGGCGGCGTGATCGGTGAGGGCGCCGGCGGGCACGGGGCAAGCGCGATGGCGTCGCCGCACAAGCATGAGGAGAATTCAGTTGCACGACAGCCACGCGCAGGCCTTAGGCGACAGCGGAAGCACGCGCGACACGATTGACACAGTTCTTAATCATGCGCTCGAGGAAACGTGCGACGACGCGGAGCACGAGACTGCGAAGTTTTGCGTAGGGAGGCCCAGCGCGATCGACGATCCAGAGGTGGAGGCATCATGGGAAGTTCGACTTCAAGTCCAACGGAGCTGACGCGGTGATCCAGGTATGGGTTGGGCTCCAGGAGCGTGAGTTCGATATTGCCTCAACAGGTGCGACCAGCCAACGTGGCCGAGCCGCCGTGCTATGCAAATCTGCGCGACCTGATCGCGGGCGGGAGGAGTCTGCCCGGACTGGGCGCGGCGACGACCAAGATCAAGAAGGAGCGTTTCGCGGCCAGCCTGGGGGCTCGAAGAGGCCGCTCTGACCATCGAGGCGGGCAGCCAGCAGGCGACGATGAGCATGGCCTAGACGTCTCTGCCATCGTGGGCAGCGCAGTCTGGCCCGTTAGTTGCACCGCCTCGCGCCACGGAAATCGGCACGGACGACAACGCGACGCCGACAGTCATGTCGAAGACGCGGCCGAGGCGACCTGGAGGAGGGGGCGAGGGTCGGCCAGTCGGACTCGATATTGCGGTAGTCTGCACTCCGTTGTGATGCAAGGTTCTCCTTCCAGGAGCCCAGGGTGTTACTCTAGTTAAGGCCGCCACCCTCACCAGCGACGAGAGGCCCAGCCCTGAGTCCCAGGCGGCTCAACGCACAGAAAAGAGAGGGCGGCGGACGGCGCAAAGCGCTAGAAGCGACAGTGCGGAAAACAAGGGGATGGAGGGAGGGAGCAGCGTGAGCGCGACCAACACAGGCGTTGGCGAGCGAGCCTTCGTCGCCGTCTGTACAGCAGCAGCGTCGATGACGCTGCCGCTCCCGCACGTTCTGACCGCGCGGCCCCCTCCTCCTCCTCCTCCTCCTCCTCCTCCTCCTCCTCCTCCTCCTCCTCCTCCTCCTCCTCCTCCTCCTCCTCCTCCTCCTCCTCTTGTTCGTCCTCCTCCTCCTCCTCATGTTCCTCCTCCTCCTCCTCCTCCCCCGTCCTCCTCCTCCTCCTCCTCCTCCTCCTCCTCCTCCTCCTCCTGCTACTCCTTCTCCCCGTTTCTCCTCCTCCTTCTCCTCCTCCTCCTCCTCCTCCTCCCCTCCCCTCCTCATATTCCCTTTTCCTCCTCCTCCTCCTCCTCCTTTTCCTCCTCCTCCCCCTCCTCCTCATCTTCCGTCCTCCTCCTCCACCTCCCCCTCCTCCTCCTCCTCCTCCTCTCTTCCTCCTCCTCCTCCTCCTCCTCCTCTCCCCGTTTCCTCCTCTCTCCCTCCTCCTCCTCCTCCTCCTCCTCCTCCTCCTCCTCCTCCCCCTCCTCATCTTCCTTCTCCTCCTCCTCCTCCTCCCCTCCCATCGTCCTCCTCATATCCTCCTCTTCCGCCTCCCCCTCATCCTCCTCCATTCCTTGCCCCTGTTAACAAATTTCCCAGGTCGCACCCCGAGGCTAGTTTTTAGGGCGGACCGGGCGGTTCGCCCCATATTTCCTTTGCATATACGATTCTGAAAATTCAAAACTGGCAACAGGTTCACAGATGGAGGGCGGGTCATTCTCGAAATGTGGTTCGCTTTGGCTCCGCGCACACTAGTCTTTCATTTAGCAAAAACATGCAAGAGTTGCACGGATTGAAGGCGAGTCGTTTTCACAAAGTAGTTATCACTTTAGCGCCGCGCACATCCTTGTTGAAGTTGTGCAAGAGCTTCACGGATTGAGGGCGAGTGGTTTTCAACATGTAGT